TTACAAATTCCTTTCCTACTGGTCCATGCGATCTTGGATGTTGCTGGTATTCCAAGCCCATGCTTGTGCCAGTGGTCCCTAATCTCCATCTCTCACTAAACTTGCATGACAAGTGAGGATCTAGGCTTCCTGAAAGAGCATTCACTTTTTATGTTGTACTAACACAGCTGCAATCAACTCTTTTCCCTTGATATAAAAAGGAAATGCATGCTGCTGCCAAAGTGCTTTTCATGTGGCCCATCAGCTCCAGAACACAAATCCACATCTCTCAACCACCAGAAACACTGAAATGTTCTTTCTTCCCTTCAAAACCAGAAAAAAGAAAAGGAAGGGAAAAAAAAAAAGAAAAAGAGCAGGAACGCATTGTAGATGAGAAAAGATTGATTCCTACCATACGGATACAGTACAGCAAATCAGAACAAATTAGATTCAAAGGCATGGCCAGTGATGGATTCACAGTTTAGTATAATTATAGCTTATTTTGTTCTGCATATCGGACAAGATAGCCTAAGCTTAGCCAACGAGGTCCTTTGAAGATGTGCTCTGAGCTTAGCCAAGAAGCTCCCAGTTTGTTTTTTAACAAAATCACAAAAAAGACAAACATAAGCAAATTGTCCTGGCCAGCAAAATCCAGTATGATGAAGTATCAGTTACCTGGAAAGTAATTTGCTTATGGAAAAATAGTACCTGGACTGACAATTAAACTTTAGGGCATGAGAGGTATGACCCAACTACTTTTTCATGTTATTTTACACTTTTCAAACCCAGTCTGTGATTGTGATATAGTGGGTACAGCATGCTGAAAAAGCATCTTTTACAAAGAGATGGTTAAGACTTTACCTACAAAACCCAGTGCATTGCATGAGATTCTGCTCTTTTGCCTGGAAGGCAGGAAACTGCTAAACAGTTTTAAATTCAAAACCACTTTAAAATTAAGAAATAAACCTGCCAAAAATCCCCTAAAAGCACACAGATAACTACACATCAAACACTTCAGTGAGGTATATCAAAAGGCTTCCTCAAGTTCTCTTTTCAGGAACAGAGCTTAAAATACTATGATTTAGAAGTGTGCCTATTTCTATTTTGTTAGCATAATTTTCCTTGTCCTAAAACAGGTAGACTGAATACAGATATGGACAAATGTCATGTGGACCAAAATGTTTTAAATACTATCCCTTGCTTTCTCACTGAATCTGATTGCACTTGCTCTGTTATTCAAGACAGCAACATTTTTGTTGAGGAACCCTGATAATCAGAGCAAGTATTTACAAGATCACTCTTCGTTTATTCCAAAACTTGCTTACTGACGCTATTTTTGCAAGTTAAACATAAATTACAGTTGGCACATGAAAAACATGCACAGGAATAGAGGTCTTTTTTCTCTTTTGACTGTTTTTGGTTTTGGTGAATTGCTAACAGCCTGTATTTTCTATGAAAACTAAACTAAGCATCTAAATGATTGCTTCTGTTTTCAGTAGGGCTGTGATCCTCTCAAGTATACACTAGGTTCAGTGCAGGCTGCCCAGTAAGAATTTTAATCCTATATGCTCACTCTTTATAATTCTTGGTCACATTGTCCTATATACCTTAAAAAACAAATAAACTTTCCATCCCACTAAAGAGGCATGAACTGATCTCATCTGGACACTGCACAGAAAACCGAATGACCCTTGCTTATCTGATTGGTGAAACTATCATCCACTGATTCACGAGGTAAGGGAAATTCCTGCAACCTCATCTGAGAATTTAAACTTTCCCACATTACTAGGCCAATGCCAAAGACGAGTTTAACACCATCATTTCTCATTAATTGACAAGAAGTGTGCTGAAAAAAGCTTCCCTTGCCTAAGGTGAGCATGTGTATTCAATAGCTCACTGTAGTTAGAAAAAATGTGCAGTACACTTGGAAGTACGTTTCTGGGTTTTCACTAAGTAACTCATGACGTGCTTTCTCCAACTATCATATTTAATGGTGGCTGGCACATAGCTTCAATCTAAAAGATCTGGGAAAACATAACTTGGCATGAGCTGAAAATGTCAAAAAGTGGTTGATTGCCTGCCATTGAATTCATTGGTTGAAATACTTTTTAGGTGCAGAATTAAAAAAAAAGTATTTGATTCCTTTTGCAGAAATTGCTAGTGAAATACATGCCAACACCTGGCAAAAGACTTCCTTTCAATATACAGAATATTTAAGTTGTGGTTTTCCTTATATCCATGGAAAATGAGTACCAAAGTAATCCAAACCTTGTTCCATAATCTCCAGTGGTAGAGTCTGTGGTTCAATGATTCCAAATTCTGTAGGGTTTTTTTTGGTTCAGAAAGAAAGCTCATGTGACAGAGAAATCACTAAAATATATCACAGCTATTTCATCTGGGCAGTGCTGGGCCAAAAGCAGCACGAGGACAACAATTCCATCTACAGTATGTCTTGCTGTTGCTGCTGTTGTTTATTTGCTTTTCCTTTTACATTTACCAAGCATCAGAACTTTTTCGTAATCCAAAACCTAATAAAATAATGTAAGCATGATTTTCAGGATAAGCCAAACTGATATTGGTAGAAAATTCAAGTATATATCAAGATAAAGATGAATGTACATCACTTGTACTATCTAAGAGCTGGAGTGAATTTTCTGATAGTATCTCCAAGAAAACTCTCGTATCAGGGGAATCCTCAGCTGACTTGACAAATTTTCCTCTATGCCATAAGCACTGAATGGAATTGTAGGTAGATAATATCTTCTTGCAGAAAGCATGAAGCTGGGCAACAAAGTTAAAAACATCTGAACTGCAGATGCACCTTACTGTGTAAACCACAAGAAGGCTATTTAGACTTTGGCTATATGCAAGAGCTACCTCTAATCTCATAAATTCGTGTTAGAACCTGAGTGTTGATGTAATAGTGCTGATTTTTATAATCACAAATTATATTGATGCATTTAATACTATCATGACTACTATCCACCTGCAAATACGTAAATGATGTACATTTTGACCTACAAAGTATTCCAATTCATTGGAATCTTGAGACATGATCAGGGAAATACGTTTGATGCATATATTTAATTATGTTATTTTTCCTATTAGTTACTATAGAAGTGATAAAACACTGTAACCAGAAGAGTGATTAGAAAGTATTAAAAAAAGCTATAAGCTGGGGAAAAAGAGCAAATGAGGTTACTGCTCAGAACCATGGTATCCAGAAGCCATATGGAATAAGTTATGAGGGAAAGCAATTGAAGCAACGAACATAAATGATTTCAAGAGACACCTAAACTGTTTCCGAAGGAAGTTGTTAAAAAGAGAAAAGAAAGATAAAGTGAAAACAAGATCAACCAAAAAAGAAATTTGTTTGACAGATGGTCTTATTCTGTTGCTAGAATATCTTCATTTCTTAAAATTGAAAACTAAAGTAAAAATATAATAGCATATTTACCCAGTAGCCTGAATTGATATGTTGAATCTCAGCCTTAATTTTAATTTCATTGAATCTGTCATTCAGTGACATACGAAATTTGGAATATAGGAGCATGTATCTTGTTTTACATTTACAAGTGTAAAATGAGCTGCCTCTTCAGGCACTACATTTATGCTCAAAGTTATCTAACCTAACATTAGATCCCTTCATGAAGTATAGACTTCTTGACCAACCACTGTAGACAGCCTGAACTTCCCCTGAGCTCCAACCAAACCTAAACCGCACTCAGAGGGTGCCTGTTACTGTCAGTTGAGGTGTAAGAAGCCATATCAGGAGACAGAGAATGAACTCATGCAGAATGAGTAAAGTTCAAGACCATGTCATTGTGTGCTCCCAAAAATACACGAAGATAGGGAAGAGAAAATGTTGACATGAAAGCTTACATCCTGCAAGATTTTGTGGCTTGAAGGACAAATGAGTGCACCGGTACCACCACGGATGCACTGAGCAAACAGTCAGGCATCAAAAAGTTTCATCATCTTTTTCTCCCCTGCTGTGCTGTCACCTGCCACACATGGTAGTTTCCCCCAAAAATGGCTTATTTACAAGTAATTTTCGAAGACTTAAAAACTCTGGTTAATAGTAATAAACAAAGCCTGTTTTGCCCCAGGTGTCTTTCTGCAGAAGTTGTAGCCACATGGTATGCAGCAATGAGAACTGCATGAATGTGTGAGCATGTGCATAGTGTGTCCAGATGTTTCTGCTTTAAGAAGAATTCACAACTGGAAAGGAAAATAATAAGCATAACCAGTTTAGGGTTTTTTTAGTAAAATGTTCTTCAATGACTGTTAAAAAGCTATAAATCAACTGTCCCTTCTACAGAATAGACTCTTTTGAATAGGAAAGAGCTCAATCATTTCCTAAATCCATCAGCTCTTTGATTTAGGTTAGTTAAAGGTCAGTAGAAAGTGTTCTTCTCCTTCTGTTGATTTTCCTTCTTGTTTTAAGACAAAAAGAGGTATCTACAGCATCTTAAAATTTTATGGACAGATTATTTTTATAGGCTTTCCAAACCACCTAAGGACAGCTACTTCTCCATCCTAGTAGGGCTGCCATACAGACTCATACAAAACAATCTCCAGCAATACCTGAGAAGCTCCTTTGTGCACTCTCAGAGACCCAGCAAATACAAGAGCTTGAACGCCAAATCCTGATCTGAAAAATGCATTCTGCTCCATATACAGAAAAGAGAGGAGAATTGCCATATGTGCCCTTGTATAACATCAAAAGAGCACAAACCAACTCCAGCAAAGATCCTTAAATCAGAGTCTCAGACCTTCTGAATTTTTCTGTTTGGATGCTTTGAGAGCTCCCATGTATACAATAATGAGAGCAAAGAACAAGATTTTAGAGTTATACCACAAAACAGTAGTTATCCCAAAACAGGAGTTTGCTGGGTATTTCCTTGGGAGCATATTTAGTGACTATATTTTTTCATGCAGCTTCCCTCATTGCTGGTGGGAATTTGATAAGCCACCACAAAAAGAAATAAAAAAGTGATTTAATTTCAAAGGCATCTTACCAGCGGACTACCATCAGTCCAGCGGAAATCACGCTCAAACATCTTGTCATTGAGGCCAATCCATTGGTAGTCATGGCCAATACCTAAGGAACCAGAAGGATATTTTTATTAACCTTCCCATAAATGGAAGAGATTTCACCATAGAAAATAAAAAGAATTTGCACAGAATGAATCAGACATCCTGTTCTTAAGATTCTTCTACTCATTATGCAAACAAGTATTTACAGGCTGTTTTTCAGCTTTTCAGTTTTAATTTGAGATGTCTTCAAAATTGCAGATTCTCATCTAACAGTTTTAAACAGTCCTATCGTTTCCCTTCTGATGGTGTCTCCCAGGAAAACAGATTAGTTTTCTTTCTGAGTGCACACAAGCGAGAAGGGGGAGGGGGGGGAAGGCAAAAAGATTAAAATAATAAAAACTCATATTTTAATATACATTTTCCAAGTTTTATTTAGTCTGTGACCCATGTCTAGATTGTGCAACACAACATACAGGAATTATTTCTCCATGCCTGCCTAATACAATATATGGTGGTGTGGTCATTGATGTCAGGTGCACAAAAATCTAAAGCTTCTAGAAAAAAAATATTTCGCCAATTGCCAGTGCCAAAACAATATCTCTTGTTGTCTTTCTCAAAAACAAATATTCTATGTAACGAATAATAACCTAATAGTGATAGGGAACTTGCACTGACTGCAAAACTAAACATGAAAAATACTAAGTGTGCTATTTAAACTTTCTAGAAGTGTATTTTAACATAGAATTGTAAAAGCTGAGTGACCAGGAGGATATTTCACTCAATGCCCACTCCTGTTTAGAGGAATCCTAACAGTACATACGGTTCACAAAGATCTGCTCCTCATGAGACAGGATGCTTGTCAAGTGTGCTCCCTGGAGACGGCACTCCCTTTCAGCCGTGTCCCATGTACGCCGATGGGCGAAGTATTTGTAGCACTGTCCTTGGAACTTGTGCCAGCCATAATCACAGGTCTCCGTGTCTTTGACAAACAAATAAATCACATCTTTGTCAATTGGTGTGAAACACAGGCACATTTCATGCAGAAGGACGGATTTCCTGCAAAGCAAAGGCTCAAGAAGATTCCCACTCATTAAGCGGAACAAATACAAACAATCAACACTCATCCTTGAGACTACATTACATTTTCAGGTAGTTCTGTTTACCCAGTTTCAGTACAAGCTACAGGAATGTTATGTAAGGAGTATAATTGAAATTGACAACTTTGAGCTTCCACTGATCAAATTGTACTGTATCTCAGGAGGAAATCTTCAGTCCATAACTCTGGATGAATGTAAAACCTGGGTGTTGGATTGCAGTTAGTCTACATTTCATATTCTGTATGTGGGGATGGGAATTTTTACTTGCAAGGGCAAATAGTTCTTTGAGTGACTGTACTGAACTATCTTAGTTTGGAAGAAACTGATAACCGAATATAATATGAAGGAAGGTGCTTGTGATTGTTTATTCCACAGATGCAAAGCTGCAGTAATATCTTTCTAATCTTACTCCTCCAAATCCTCCTCCAAAACCCATTTACCTTGACGAAGTCCAACTTAATAAACTTTAGGCATCAGTTTCTAAGAAAGGCTGTAAATCTGAAATATCAAGTAATGAAATGCATATTGCCTGTGTTTGTATGAGGGATGGTACTGATAAGAATGCATAATAGGCAGACATTCACATCAGCCAGTATATTCTTTCATCTAAAAAGAAACAAACTTAAGTCTTGGAATAGTAACAAACCGTGGATTGGACATTGTTTTTTCAAGGTTAGGCAGGTGTAAACACAATAGATGGCAAGAAACAACAAAGTTCCAGTTCCAACTTTGCTTCTGCACCAACACTGCAAGAATGAATCACAGACAAAAGTCAGTATTAACAAGATGGGCATAACAAATAAGATATCTGAATGTGTCTGAGCTGTGCTTGATAATGAGAACTTGCCACTGAGAAGTATTTTACAGAGGAATGGGAGAAACAATAAGGAAGTCTCAGACTGTTTTGAGTTATGGCAGATAAAATGGCACCATAAAGGACACTTCAGCATGAGACTAGTTTGTTCCAGCTGCAGTCAGCTCCCACTATCTAAGTACATGATGCTCATCCTTGAAGGGCCTCAGTTGCAGAATGTTGAAGGACAGGAACACAAAGCTTGGCCTTCCCCACCAGCTAAACAGGAATTGATCATTTCCCACCATGCTTTATCAGTTCCCCCAAAAAAACTGTGTCTGAAAGCATCTGGTCTTTCCAAAGGCATAGATATATTCTGAGTATGAAATTGGATTTCTTGTTTTCAGTAAGTCAATATCATCAACAGTCAATAACATGTTTTGGTCAAAGGGATTCTTTTTGCATTAGTACAGGAAAAGGCAACTATTACAGAATATGGCAATGACTGCAAGATCTTTAACTATGGCATTTCTTGGGTCTGAGCTGCTGTCCCCTGAATTGTGGCCTAATTTTTTCAGAGCACAAGGCTGGTTCTTATTTCATAGCAGGAAGAGGCCATTCACATCCTGAAGCACAGAAGTCCCTATTTTTTTCTTAAGTTTTTAAATCTCCCAAGATAAAGGCCAGACTTCACATGTACATAAATGGATTTAAAAGTGCAAGCATATTGCTTCAGAGGTTTACCAGAATTTCTATGACAATTCCCGGCAGCACTAATAACACAACAGTTATTGTCTTAGATGTCAGATATCAAAATAGTTTTCAAAAAGTCATCACTACAGACATAAATGTACCAAATACAAAGGCATAATAAAGCTTACATTGATTATCTCTCTTCTGTTTTCAGCAAGTTAAGCTGTGGAAAACTGCTTGTGCCTTGAGTAATCCCAGCTATGAAAATAGAATGTAATCTATACTACCAACTTGTTAGTTTTTTATCTTCTCCCTCTTTGTATTCTCTATGAGGTGCAGGCTGCAGATACAGCTTTAATTTCTGGCATCTAGGCCATTTTAAAGTTTAGTCTGCTCTTGGCTTTCTAAAAGATTTGTTTAACCACACAGTGCTGACTAACAGTACTATGTTCTTTGTGAAGACTCTTAAGATTTTATTATTCATCTTATTCTGAGACTCCCTTGTCTCACAGGAAAGAAGTCAGATAATAGCAAGCTGCATTGCACACTGAGAAATTCATGACCAAAGAGCATTTCCAGGCTATTCAAACCAAACCTCCCCTGGCCTCCACTAGGGAAGAAGTGCATGATTTTAGAGGAGATCTGCTAAAAAGGCACTTAAGGGAGGCAAAGAGGCTTGAAAATACAAATCCTAGAAAACTGGGTTTGAAGAAGGAGATATAATGACCTGAGCATGAATCATAAATAACAAAATCTCTTAAGATAGAGGATGCCAAACAGTCATATAAGTACTCTTATTTAAAATGCATGCACTGCAGTGCACATACAAGTCCTCCTTCCTATTCAAAATGGCATGTAGTTTTCTAAAAAAAAAGTTGAATAACTTCTTCTGCACCTATTTGTAGCTCAGAACTACAAAGACAGCAAAAGACAGGGCTGATGGATAAAAAATACACAGGATTTTTAGGAGCGAAAGAGAGGGGTTTTTTTTTTGAGAGAAGTTGATGGGAAGAGGGCAAAACAGAATGGGGAAGGAGAGTCAGTAGGCTAGAGGATGAAAAATGCAAATCAGACAAGTAAAAATGTGGGGGCTGTTTCATCGCTGCAGTGCTTTGTCCTGAGTGTGTGCATCCTACTACATTAACAGAAAGTGAAAGGGTGACACAAAGGTAAGGGCTACACACGGCTATAAGTTTTTAGTGCCTTTACTGAACCAGCAAAGTCTAATTGCAGGTGGCTGTTAATTCTGTGACCAAACCATCTGGGAGCAGAGTAGGTGCAAGCACTTATTGAATAAAATACTTCATGTTCATTGTATACTTATCCAGAGTGGCAGCCACAGCTTTCTATAACCTTGTTCCAGAATGTGATGGAAATAGTGAAACACCATTTGCCATATTTACAATGTTTTAAAAGTTGTCTGTCTGCTCTTAAGATTTACAACAATTTACAGGCTTTTTCAGCGATGTGTGCAAGGAGTTACTTACACAGCTTCTGTTCTCTGTAACTGCAATGGTATGTGTATAACAACATCTCTAAACACTGCATTTAAAAAGAAAAGTTTTCTGTAGGATTAATACATAGATAGGTACCACTTTTTCAGCAGCTGCAGTAAGCTGCTGACAATAGGACCCTTGTCTTTAAAGAAATTCCGTAAGAGGCTCAAGAAAAATAAAGACAGAAACACAGGTACAAGGACATAAAAAGAGTCTTACTCAGCTGTGAATTTTATCTGTGACTCTCTGCTTTCAGCCTGAGGCCCATTAGCCCACGTCTTGAGAAGAAACCATGTCTCTGCTAAACATTCAAAATAATCCCTTCTCAGCTGAAAGACATCAGTCAGAGACCATCTGTTTTCAGAAACTAACTTTGCACTGAGCCTGTCTCAAATATTTCCATCCCAAACTACCAAGCCCTAGGAACAAAGTGAACCAAATGAGACCAGAGTAATCACAGACATTTGAACAATGAACTTGGGTTATAAAAACACTGTTTCTGATATGATGATTTAAAAAAGCAGTCTTGTTTTCAGAACCTGGAAAAGAACATCTGGTTGTATTACCCCAAGGAGGCATGTCCCATAACAAACACATATGTGCCATTTTGGCACACGGGTCCATGCATGCAGCTGCATTTGGTAAACAGGCCAGCCTAGGTGTGCCTGTAGAGATCCTGCAGTGGAGAAAGCCAAATCTTAAGCTTAAAACACAAACACCATTCCTTGAAACCAGGTAGACATCAGTTAGAATAGCAAAATAAGAAAAAGAAAAGGATACTCTAGCTAGCCAAGGAAGGAAGTGGAAAATCTAAACAGGTTCTCATCCAGTTCTCGTAAAGGGCACTTATTCTTGAAATTGAGGTTCAAATTGCAAGTCTTTACCATTTTGCTGTTTCTCAAGTAACTGTTCATGAAGTAAGGTACTCCTCATCAAAAAATACAGATGGTCGGATAATGCAACAACATCCACTGACAACACCCTTCTGTTCCCTGGAGGCTATTCTCTACAGTTGGTTCCACCAGCCCAGTGTGAGACTAGGTGTCAAGCAACCCTTCTCTCCTCTTTCCTCAAATATGAAGCTTGCAAAGCAGTGCTTCAGGCAGCAAATACAGGGAGGATTTGAGCTCTGAGCTCATTTATCTGGACACTGAGAGCTCTCATAAGGTTAAAAAAAGGGAAAGACTGACAATTCCCACAGGATAAGACTTGCATCAAGATCTGCAGGGGCATGTAGTCACCCTTTGAAAAAGTGTTTTTTGGGATGTTTCTCCATTTTAAGATGTGATGTTCAAATGTCAGAGAATGGCATGCAGAATATGCACCTGTACTTTGAAAAGATATGTGTGGTGGGTAAAAGACAGTATTATCTAACAGAGGTACTCCACTCATTTAATATAATGTGAGCCAGAAGTGATGCTGGCTTACTGAGCTACCAATCTAGTTTAAAAAGAAACACCCGCAGCTGCTCTGTTTCTAACATCAGATGACTTTAGCTCTCTTCAGGAAGAAGTTCCTGGGATGACATTGTCTGCTGAACTGTTTCCACTTGGCAAGAAAAACAGCTGTCAGGGAGCCAATTTCATCTCACTGATTCTCAGGGTTGATTTCCCTCTCGCTTGATTAGATCACCCTGAAGGCTTCTCTAACTTCTACCACTTGCCAGCTCTCCCTGACCTGCAGCTGTACTGACCTCTGGTTACATCCCCTCCTAATACTGACACAGGCATTAATACATCAGGCAAAGATCCTTTAGTCTAGAAAAGTCTCACAGGGCCATTTGGGTGAAATTGTGAGCTCTACATTTTTTTCTACATCAGCGGTGTGAGACCAGGATGCAGTGGAGTTGTCTCCTACTTTGAGTTTCATTTCCAGAGGCAATGTATGCCTACTGCTTTCATTCCCTCCCGTTGCATTTTGAATACTTATCACTGTGCCGAAGTCCTTCAGCTTGACTTTTTTCAAAGCTTTCTAAAATAAATAGTATATATTGGAGGGGATAAAAAAAAAAAGAGTAATGAAACACAGTCTCAGTGTGCTCAACTCCACCTTTCTTGTGGCATCGAGGTGCGCATTCTGTCATTCTGGCTGTTCTTTAAATCTAGTGAGGTCAGGACTGGTGCCTCGAAATAAAGCCTGCTTGCCAGACAACCATGTCTGAATCACCAACACAGTTTTATTTTGTCTGGTGGAGTGGAAATTTGGCACTAAATGCTTTTCCCAAGTCCCAAACCACTGCAGGACTTTAAGTGGAGGAAATTTAAATTCCAAAGCTGAGTGAGCAAGGCTCTTGTTTTGATTGACAAACTAGGAAATGTTCCCATTAACCACCTAAAATGCACTCTTAGGTTGGTCATAAAAAGCAGCTTAAAGCTACCACAGTACTCTGAGCCACTCACTACTATGAGTTTGCTGAGGGAGAAGGAGGAAAAGGAGTGAGAACATTTATTTCTTTTGTTGTGAAAACACTGTCAATTTATAATTTTGGAGAAAAGATTCAGAAAGTCCTTTCAGATTTTAAGGTTAACCAGACTACTGAAAAAGTTAAACAGTGAAAAGTGCTGGAGCTGCTGAGCTGTGAGAGTTTTCAGCTTTAATAAACAAATCTCTAAAGGTTGAGCTGGAAGAGTCTGCAAACTGCCTTTCACTGAAGATGAGAAACAAACATGAAAATACATAGTATTAATTAGACAAACACAAAGGTCTAGCTCATTCACCTGTGACCAAAACCATTCAGCTGAAGAAAAAGAGAAAAGTATTTTCATAAGCTTTAGAAAGTACACATTAAAATACCATTTCTTTTTCCCATGGAAGTGCCTTCATTAATTTTACTGACAGAACAGATTTTGCTACACTATTCTTCCTTCTACATGCATATATTCAGTAAGCATCTTGCACTGTAAATATTTCTTTTAAATACAGTGGGATTTCTTTTAGACAATGTTCCAACAATTACAGACACTTGGACTTTTAATCTGATTTCAATTGACCAGTTTAGAAAGCCTTTTTCTAACTTCCTCATAATTGTGATCCTGCACCTACTTTTCCTAAAATAATCACAGAACAAATAAATTTGAAAACTCTTGGACAAAGCTGTCAGGGTCAGGGTCCACAGTGCATGGATATACAACCTGGCATATTCAGTAGACGATTCCTACTTTCCAGTGAAGGGTTCTGATATGTCTTCCACACTGTATATAATTTTTCCAAGACAGAAACTCGGTCAGAGGGTAACTCTGCTCCTACTCTCTATCCCATAGGCATCACTACAATAATAAGAGAACCTTGTTATGTGTCTTCCCAGTAGTTTGCAAGCCAATATGAGCTTGCTGTGCTTGCCTTGGAGCCACTTGAAAACTGTATGACTGTTTTTATTTTGACACAGAAATGGCCCAATACATCAGTCTATATTTGGTACAGCAGTAACGTGACTTCCAGTCTGGTTCACATGTCGACAGAGTTTGCTCTCATCCATCTGCAAAAGATGGTGCAGACGTAACCTTAAACAAAAAGTCTATGAAAAAAACATGGGAATCTGACAAACTCAAAAATTTGAGGGGATGACTTCCCACAGATTTTGACAGTTTCTTCATCCTTCTCCTCTTATGTTCAGGCTTTGCTTATTTACTCCATAGGGGTGTTGAAATGGAAACAGATGACCTTGATCATCATAGATTAAAGGACACACCTTACCTTGTTCACAGAGAGCACCTATATAGCTTGGCAGACACAAGCAAGTAAAGGTATTGAGGCCATCTATACACGTGGCTCCATTCCGGCATGGGTTAGACTGGCATTCATCGATATCTACAACATAAAGATAAAAGTGTTTTTATACCCACCTCCTAGAAGGGAATGTTCTTCAGACTTACTCATACTTATTACTAGAACCAGTTCAATCCAGAAGAATGAATTATTATGCAAGATCCAAGCAACTGGTTTATTTGCATGATAACAGATATCACTATGCACTAACTTCCTTTCCCTTCATCCATGAGCCAAGAAGCAGTTTCCTCAGGAAATGTGACTTTACTGATCCATGATTTTATACCCTCCACTCTAACTCTTGAGTTAATTTCTAAGATCTAGATCTTCAATTCCTTGTTGTGTAGCTGAGAAAGAAGTGATACTGTGCAGTGTGTTTTCCTCTACTGATGCAAAATTTGTCGTGAGCATGTGACTTGACAAAAAAAATTCTTGTCAAGTATTGGAGACATCAAAAGTCTTCATGAACCTCAAATATTGGAAATCTTATCATATACCACCAAATAGTCTGCTAACTTCAGTCTGCAAAGCAGCATGCCTTGGCATCTTATTGGTTTGCGTTTCTCATTTCTTCCTTGTCTAATCTTATCAAGACAAGGACAAAGCATCATGAAGACAATCTTACTAAATGACCAGTCACATACCAATATTCATAGTCATGCACAGGTTTACTGTTGAGCCTATGGCACCAGAGTAAAAGCAGAGTAAAAAAACATCATCTTTCTCCCCTACTCCTGCAGCTGCTAAAATACCTTATCTTTCTTTTAAATTGGAGCATTAATTCATTTAATATAATTACTTTGTACTTGTTTTTGCACAGATTATAAGATAGTATGCCTCTTTATAAAGATCACATGGTGTTTTCTAATGAATGCTGCTCCTCTGAAACAGTTTAAACTTCAGTGCAGATTTTGCAAATATCTTAGTCCAAAGTGAACTGCTAGTAGTGACTGACTATAAAAATATAACAGAAGTTAAACGTATCTAAAAGCCAACAGACAGTTATGCAATCCTAGGAATATCTACTGGATCATGTGAAAGGCTTTTTCATTTTTTTTATTTAAAAAACTAGTTCTGTTCAAATTTTATAGTAGGTTTTTATGCTCTCTTTGCTCCTGTCATTTGGAAAGCTCTCAAGTCAATATTTTATGCCTTATATCCAGAATATCCCTCAATCTCAGGTCAATGTTTTGCAGTTTATATCCAGAATGTCCCTGAATCCAGGGCTACAAATGCCGAGATTTGCTTTCTTAAGCATCACAGAACATATTTCTATATGGCAACTAGCCATGGAGTCTCCCACTCCAATTTGTTAATAAGGCACTAAGAGTTCTAGGGGATAAGAATTGCCCACATTATTCTTTTATAATCCAAAAAGAAAAAAGAGAACATTAATATCTCTGATATCTGTCTTAAAACCAGGTGATGACACATTTCTTGACAAAGAAGATTTAAGATATCAGTAAAACTGATATCTACCAGAAATAACCCACTAGCAAACTAATTCATCAACATGAGCTAGGAAAGAAATTAAAATCTCTGGCTAATTATTTTTTTAATCACATACAGTCTTGCAGAACATAAATAAAACCATCATAATCCTGACAATTATGTTGCACTGCTATCAGCCTTTGGGTGGGTTGTTTGGGTTTTTTTTCTCTCCCAAGATTATATGATGAGTTGAACTCATTTTAGCAACAATGCATGAGCTTTTTTCATTCAAATTTGGTAAGTAACTGTGTAACAGGGAAAAACGTGGTATTTATCAGGGAATGAAACTCACAACTTTTCAAAATGCCTATGCCAGCTCTACGCTACACAGCCAAATGACAACTCTCATCTTAATTTGGTTTGCCAGTTGGAAGGAACAGCTGGTTATTCTGAGTTGTACCGATGAGTCTTTTGAAACTCACAGCTTTAGCAGGTAAACGCAGATGTCACAAGCAGCTTGAAGAGGTCCTCAGCTAATACTAATTTATACCAAAGATGTCTATAATTATGATCATATTTAAATTATTTCTTTTAAAATATCAAGCTGACATTCAGTGATCATCTTCCCAGTCACATTTGGGATCAGTTTATTCTACCAGCCTTTCAATTCAGTACACAAATCTCTTAAGAGCTCTCCCAAATATTAATGTTTATTTGGTTTTATTTGATGTATTTATGAATTTAGTGTTATGAATTCTAGGTAATGTAGTTCCTTTACAATTTTCTTACGTTTGTGTGCGTACACATCTGTACACTTTATGGGGAGAGGAAAAAGAGGTAAACAGATCTTCTTCATTTTATTGTTCTCTTCTCAGGTAAGGCCTCACTGTGTATTTTTTTCAAATAACTACATATTCCTCAACTTCAAAACACACCAATTCTGCAGATCTCATGTACAAAAACATTACACTTGACTTAATCAGTATCTAGACAGCATTAGCTTACCTAATTCACACTGCTCACCGTTGAAACCAGGCAAACATGTACAGATGTAAAATGAACCATGGGGATAGCAGGTACCACCATTAAGGCAGGGATTGCTTTTGCATGGATCCTGGCCTGTCAAACAAGTAGAAAAAGAAAAACTGACTCTGTAGTTTCAAGGAACTGCTGTCTTTTTGAATTTTTGGAAGAAGAAATCTTTCTTCATTTCTGCATTCATGTTGCAATCTTTACTGTAGTTACAGAAATTCTATTAACCTAATACACTACTGAGAATAAGATAGTTTTGTACATAGTAAAGCTTGTTCTCAGGCATCACTATTTTCAACTTTAACAACAACATGGCATTTACTATTAACCAGTATAAATAATTTTCAGTATTACATTTTTTCGTGACAATTTGTACTATATTTAGCAGTCATGGTACTCTATTGAGGATTTAGTTTGCATGACATGACAATTAATTATAGCTGAAAACCGTTAAGCATATGCAAAATGAATTGAAAATGTTTTTTTAACAGGGTTAGTTTATGTATAATGATTGGGTACACAGAACATACTGGCTGGCTGCTGTTGTTTCACTTTGTTATATTTAATCAATCAATGCCCGCAAAGTCTTATTTCTTTGAAAGGATGTTTTCATACATGCATATTTCCCACCTGTCTTTCTTAAAAGCACATTTCAAGAATACAAATAAAGGTACTGAATACATTCATAACTGAACTAAACATTAAGATAAAAGCTTACCTGCCGTGAAATCCTCTGTTGTTATGGGAGTCGTCATTTAATTAGCTTTTCCTTGAGGAGCTTTATGCCTTCTAGTGATGTTTATTTCAACTGAGTTTACATACTTAGGTATTTGCATTTGTTTTAATGCCTAGGAGCAATCACTCACACAAACAAGTATGCACTAGATAACCACTTCTAAGTATTAGCTTCTCAGAGCTATAGTAAAACCATTAAGACTGTCTTTCTGGATTACAAGAAAGTCCTGCCTTTGAAAACTTACAGAATTGGTAAGAGAGTTCTGTAACCTAAGCTAATTGAGATACATGAGAAAAGTTTAGATTTTTGGCACATTTTTAAAAAAAACCACAACTGACTATGATTTATTAAATAAAAGATAGGTGACATGTATTTTACCCTTGCAATTTAGACATTCAAAGAAGTCTTTCCAAAGTGACATGTTTCCTATCTACTGACTGGAGAGGAGAAGGTTCAGTTAAAAGCCTCCAGAAGGAAATCTTTTCTATATAACTTTGGAATTGTAATTAAATGGGCAGGATCTCATTTTGAAAAGAGTCTGATCATATCCATAAAATAGGGTGTTTGTTTTAGGACCGCTTCACTGGAAGTCCCAAATGTAGGGCTATGTTAAGCACCTAGCATTGTCTATTGTGTATTTACTGTGTGTTTGTCCTCCTGTGGACTGGATATTTTCCCAATAAATATTTCCAAATTGGCAGCTACATGGATTATTTTAGGAAAACTAATAGAAACCCTAATAAAATAAAGCCAGTTCAGTTCTTTCCTCAGCTATATCTAGATAAAATATGAACTGAAGCCATGCTATTAATACTGACCCTACCTGCATCATCTGCTTATTTGGTAAAATGGTGCCTAATAACTATTATGTAAAATAAAATATTGTGACAAATTATGCCTAACAAAAAGATCTGCAATTTATGACAGACAGACATTGTACCAACCAGATAAATCTACAGACAGACTGAAAACATGAAGTCTTGGTTTTATCTTTTCTGGAAATTTATCTTGTAGGTTAAGAGGAGTTAATTTTTATAAAAAAATCTGATCCTAAATTGCACACTAGATCTGTTCTTTCAGTCAACTTCAAGATGTTACAAAACAACCGTACCTATAAACCAATTGTATAAGTACTGTAATAGTGTGAAAACAGAAAAGCTGTTGACAAAATTATCTGTTTGACATTGGAAAATCAGATAATTACAGCTGAATTCTCTGCTGCAGTCAAGGTTACCTTCCTGTCATCTAGAACTGGTTGGTCAACTCAAGTCTGATCCAGAGCTCCCCGATGCACTCAGGAATAGTCACTGAGCTTGAGTTTTGGTACCCTCATCCTCCTTCACTTTGTAGGGGTTACAATCATGCTGTTTTCAAAGCTTGAGGCTTGCAAGTTCTGTTCTTATTTCACAAGCTGCTCTGATTGTCATACCTCTTATCAGAGTTAAGACACACATTTACAAGTATCACAAAAAACATATAAGACAGTGATCATATTTGGAAGTTACCTGGAATTTGCACAGCTGTGCCTTCAACTGAACCCACACTGGTGTCAACCAGGAAATCTGATCCATTAGTGACTTCCGGAAGAAAAAATGATGTAGTTACAAGTTCAATAGTATTTGGCTCCTCAGAGCTTATCGTTGACTGCTCATTTTGATACGGACTGCTTCCAGGGGCAGTGGCGTGTGTTGCAATGTTAGAAGAAATTGTCGCAATCTCCTCTCGACCAAACAAAGGTGACTGTGTTTCTGTGCTTCTCTCCAAAGGCTGTGAAGATGACGATAGCATTGTAACTGCTTCCTGGACAGGTCTGAATACTTCACTTTCAATACTATTAGGTGAAACTGAAACAGCTGTGGAAAAAACCCATGGGATCTCTCTCTCAGTACTCCTGTAATCTTCTTGATGGGGGTTGTTAACTCTCCCTGAGGAAGCTTCAACTTTTATTGTGCTAGCTTTTGGAACATCTGTACTTGCTCTTTCTCCAAAATTCAGAAAAGTGGTAGGCAAGGCATGTATTGACAGAGAATCTCCAGAAACACTAGCTTCTTCCTCAGCTGCTGAATCAGTTACAGAGGTTTCTCTCTCCTCTGTCCTGTCTGTTACAAGTCTGTTAAAGTGAGGAGTACTTTCAGTAGTTGTGCTTTCCAAAATAGGCTTGGGAGAAAACTCCAGCAGAGAAGACTCTGTTCTGTTGAGAAGATCTGTAGTGGATGGTTTATATGTTGCTGCAATATCAGAACTAACCTCTTTGAAGGTTCCTTCTGATGAATGGTCAGACTGACCTGAATCCTTTGACGATGATGTACTTGGAATGATTACCTCAGGATACTCAGATACTCCATTTACTAACTGAACAGTTACTGGGGATTTATGACTTTGTGGTGCAGGATAAAAGCTCACTGAATCTGATTCTTCATGCTGTGCTGATGCTGATTTTGTGTTTGTGTATACTGTAGGATGTTTTTCTTCATTCTTGCTAGATGATACAGTTGTCAGTTGGGATGTACGCTGTGTGGTAACAAAACTTACATCAAGCATGTCAGTTGTCAAAGCCTTTTCTGTCTCACTAGTGAAAAGTGGTGTAAGAGAAGGAACCACAGGCTTATCATCTAGTTCTTCTGGCCCCATTCCAGAAAAGCCAGAGACAGAGATTGTTTCACTTTGATCTGCTATTACTCGGTTGTTTGCTGAAGTATTCAGCTCACAGATATCTTCCGTTGTGCTTGTTAGAGTGTGTTTATTGGACTCATGATGCACATGAGGGCTTGCCAGTGATGGTATGGTAGGAAGGAAAATGCCCATTTCAGAGGGTTTGGTAGTGATGAGAGTTTCTGTTGTAAACTTCATGGCATTCCCTGAACCCAGATCCTTGTCATCTGGTTTTGGTCTGTGCCCAGCTGTTACTGATTCATTGCTTGGCTGACTGGAAGTAGTCAAAGAAAGACTATCACCAGATCCAAGTGTCTTCTCCTTGGTTATGGAAAATCTAAGTGTTGAGTCATATTTCTCCCCTTCAGCTGTCATGTTATCATCACTGCCATATGTTGATTGTATGACAGGATTTGGCACTGTCTGCACACTTATTATGTCTTCAGGCATTGATTTTGAGTGATCCATGTCTATAATAGTTGTTTCTTCTGATGGGATTTGAAGTCGTTCTTCAATTAGTGTAATATCACCATAAACAGAAACATTCAACATAACACTTCTTCTATCATCAATCATGGGAATAATTTTCTCATATACCCCAGTATCACTTGTTAGTTCTTCTGATGTAGCTGTCTTTAGTTGAACAGCAGATGGATTTTCCATGATCTCTTTTTCTTTCGTAAAAAGTGATGTAAGTCCTGTGATTACACTCTGTGATTCATCTACTGGTGCCTCTGTTGTCATAACTTCAGAATAAATTTCCCCAGGAATAGTAGATGAAGAATTTAGTTCTACTTTTGACACATGGGGTGTTGAAAAATGAGTAAACATATCGGGAGAAGATGAATCCAAAACACCAACCCAGCCAGATCCTTCTCCAGAGCTTTCAGGTAATATTCTGCCTGGTATTGCTGTTGATGTTACAAGCAATTCATCTGTTTCAAGTTTAGGAGTTCCACTCAGTATTACAGAAACCGGAGTTATGTCATCTTTAATCAGCAAATGTGAAGTTTCCTCTTGAGAAACAGCTTCAGAAGTAGCTGTTGTATCTGTTTCATTTCCTGCTCTTTTATAGTTAGTTTCCTTTTTGTAAGGTTCTTCAGTGGCAACAAAAAAATGCATCATCTCTTTAATCTCTGTAGAGCTGAAGCTCTTGGAGCTCTCTTCTGCTAAAGCTGGGGAACTGGTGATTGTTGAGCTGGGGAACTGGTCTTCAGTTTCCAATAGCAGCTCAGTTACAGCACTTGTAACTTCTTCATCAACTTCAGCATTTGATTCAGTGCTTCCTCTCTCAAACTCTTGTGTCTTGTCAGTTGAAATCTTGGGTCCCATATTTGTAGGATAAGAAGTTTGAGGACTGGAAGTACTCATTATTTCTTTGACAGTCACTGGCACTACAGAAGGAATAACAGTAAGGTCGTCTCCTGATCCTTGTCCTGAAAACAGTGGATCACTGATGAGCTTATTATTTGTTACCTTTTGTTCTTTGGATATCAGGAATGATCCAGGATAATTTTTTGTAGGCAAAATATTTTGTACCAACTCCTCCCCTTGCTCTATATCTGTAACTGGAGAGCTTTTGTATTTCCTTTCAATCTTTACAGGCTCAGTTACTCTGTCATCACTAAATGGCAAGAGTATTTTTTTAACTGATTCAGTTTCTAATTCCTTTCCTTCTGAATATGGACTGACATTAGGAACATTTAAAAATCCCAAATGTTCATGGTTAGCCTGTGTACTTTTAAAGGATCGGTCTGTTATTGTTTCTTCAGAGGATTCTATAGCTTTCGGTGAAATATCCCTTAGCCTGTCTTCCCCAGAATGAATATCTTCCATCAAAGGAATCTTTGTAGGAAAAGCTCTCATTATCAGTTCATCAATTGTTTTCTCTTCCATTCTTATGTCAGGTACAGTTCCCATTGTGGTTACTTCATGTTCAGTACTTGTGACTAGCTCATCAGGTTTGGTACTGAGGGTATGATCCATAGATGGTGTGCTGGCAATGTTTTTGTCATACTTCTCTCCTGTTCCTGGTCTCCCAGTAGGTGAAACTGCTGCTTCAGCAAATGATTCAATGAATGTGTCTGCTTCCCCAGATCCCTGATCAATAAATAGGAAATGACTTCCAAGTATTTCTTCAGTAGGTCCATTAGACATTAGTTTTGTGGTGCTGCCATCACCTTTGAATTTTTCTCCAGAGCCATGCTTAATCAGGAGAATCTTGCCTAAGGAGACAGTTGAAGAACTAACTTGTGCATTTTTGCTTTCTGTAGATTCAGCTTCTGCTTTTATACTGCCAGTGTCATATGTCACCATGATGTCATGAGGGCTGTTACTAGCCACTGATTCTGGAGATGATGTGACATCACTTGCTTCTAAATCTTCAGTTTTAACCCCTGGTGCAACATGAGATGTTAGCTCTTTTCTAGAACCAGGACTAGATTTTACTTCAAAAGAAGCTGTGTAAATTGGTTCTGTTTCCTGGCTTTGTTCTCCTGGGTTTCCTGTACTAAACACATCCTGGGACATCTGACTTGCTGCTACAGACTCCTTTGTCAAGCCATTTGACCCAGTACTTGAAACTGATATTGTCGATTCATCTGTTCCTGCACGTTTGTCATATTCTGTTGTTGCACTCTTCAGTGAAGTATCATCTATGCTGTAAACTTTTCCTTCATGCTTTTCTGCTTGTGTTTCAGTGACAGGCCTTAATGGAATTGAAGCCATAGTAGCAGACTCAATGATAACATCCAAGTCTCCAGAACCTGGATCAGTAAATGGGGAGTCAGTACTTACCACTTTTCTTGTGAGACCCCCTGAAAATATGTCTGCTGGTTCTTCTGTTGATCCTTCATTTATAAAAAGCTTCTTATCTCTGAAGGAGATAAGGAGAGGAACAGTGGTGACTTTTTTGATTTCAGAATTTATGGTACCTATTACAGGTACCATTTTTCTGAGCAGGTTGGGCTCTTGGCTAACAGTTCTGATTTCACTAGTAGTACTCCCAAATTCATTCAACTCCAAATTTCCCTCTGCAGCAGTAGCTGAATTTTCCCAACTTAATGAAACAGTGGTCTGTACTTCTTTTTCATCTCCAATATTCTTTTCAGTTACAAGAGAGCTGGGAACTATTTTTTCTGTAATAAACTCAGACACAGAATTGGTGGCAACAGTTACTTCAGAATTTTGATCAAAAGTAGAATAAAGTGTGCTTATTCCTCTGGACAAAGCAGAGTTGATTCCTGAAGTGGTTACAGAAGTTTCTGTTGGCAGAAGTGTGCCAGAGCCTAAGGAAATATCTTGCATTCTAAGTGTTTCTGTTGCTGCTGTTCTCGTTGTCATGACTGAAGTTATAGCGATGTCCTTTTCTACATCTCCAGAGCCTTCTAGAACCAGAATAGAAGCAGCACTCATCTCAGGCTTTGCTGTACGACTACTTGTTTCCAGAAGATTTTCTACAGGGGAATTTCCATTAGGTTTAATAGTTGATTTGTAATGATCTGCTGGAGCAGGTGTTGCCTGTTCTGGAATAAGGTTTTTCACACCTATGCCTACCGTAGTAGTATTAAAAGCTGCACCCAGAGAAGCAGTTACAGTAGAACTTTCCACAGTAAGTGCATCAGGAGCAGAAGTTACACCAGAATATTTTTCATCTTCTTCCCTTCCTGACATTGTCACAATTTCTGAGAAGATAGAACTGGATAAATCAGATTCAGTGGAGCCATCTCCAGAAGATTCACCAGTAATTAAAAGCAAGCTTTTTGTAGCTTTAGTAGAGTTCTCAGTTCCATGACCTGTTGCAGCCTCTCTATTTCTTTGCAGGGACTGCTCATATGAAGAAGTAATGGCTATTGGTTTATTTGTTGTGGCAACTTCTGACTCACCACTATAAACAGGTTCTAACATTGCAACATCTGCTGTCGGTTGTGTCACTTCAAATGCCCCTATTACTTCTCCAGCTTTGCTTGGTTGCATAGTACCAGAAGATTCAGTTTCAGGTATTATAAATGTGTTTGTTTCATTGACTTGAGAAAAGGTTACTTTTTTGGAATGTGCAACGCTTTCAATTTGGTCACTTCTCGCTTCCTCAGCTTTTGTGCTCTTAAGAGCACTAGTGACTTGTTGTTTTCCATTGATGAATTGCAAAGCTGGAGGAGTTGTAACGTCAGTAGTGTTTTCACAGTCTTCCTCTTCTTCATATTCTATAAAGTTTGGAAAGAAAGAATCCAGTATTATATATTCAGACGAATCCTGCACAGAGTCTGAAGTACAGGGTTCAGTCTGAGTTGATTCTGCATCAATGTGGGGCTCATCTATTGTATGAGGAAGCATGTGGCGACTGAACAGATCCAAAAATTCATTCACCGGATGATCTGCAAAAAAAAGACAGTTTTTCATAATCCCTAAGTGACAGCGATGGTTGTGCATTATAGTAGACATACGAAGTAAAAGCAATCCAGCAGATAAAAAAAAAAAACCAGAAAAAAAAAAACCGCAGTAAATTCAGTGTGTTCTTCTATTGACACAAAGTTCGATGTTGCCACAGTTTTGATCTTCTAGTTGAAGCCTTTGTATATATTGATCACTGATTTCACAATACTATTGATTGCCATGTGTGTTTAGTTCCAAACTCAAACCTGAGAAAACTTATTCTACACTATTCAGTAGAGATAAGAAATGGACAAGATGAAAATAGCTTTTAGACAAAAAGACTCTGATCACAACCTGCAGCAACTGCTTCCATGGATGTGAGACAGCAGCTAACCTTTACCAAAAATTTAACTTACATAAAGCTAAGCAATGCAAAGTCTAAAATAGGACATATAGAATATGCCTCTGCAACTCCATTTATTCTCAGAGTAGAGTAATCCAAATTCCTAGGAACACCATAAAAACTAGTAAATAAAGTATTTCAAAGTTTTATTTGGCATTATAGAGCATTATGAAGCAAACAAGAAAAAATATCCCAGATTCAAATGTCAGTCACCATTCAGACAGAATATATGAGTAAAATCCAGCTATTTTCTTCTGCTTGTCACTGAATTATTCACACACTCTCACAGTTTACAAACCTCTCAATTTTTTTTCTAGATGTCCAGGCAGATAAAGAGGAGGAACAAAGTTCTAAGCAGGCAAGTTTTTAGCTGCAGAAGCCCTCATGAATTGCTCTAAGATTTATGATGTCAAATTCCATAGACACTTTTAAAGTGTGCTCTCTCAGCACAAACATTACTTCAGACATTCTGTTCCAGACAATAGATGTTACATTCCTTAAAAAAAAATCATTACAAGTAAAAAATAAAATTAAAAAAAAATTAAAAAGCGGATACAAAGACAGAACAGGTTTGGCCAACCAACTGGAAGCTGGAAACTTTGTGCTGAAATCTTATTACATGAATGTATCTTTCTTCTGAGTCTAAGTTTATAACCTTTTTGCCCAAAAAAATTACTGCTTGCTGTTATAAACTAGTGTAGCCAATGGTGCTTTGTCTACATCTGCCGGTAGAGGATCTGAACCAAAATACAGGACTTCTGTATTACAGGATTGTCAGCAATGATTGCTTCTCAAAGAATATTTGCAGGTATTCTGGCATACCTAGTATATGAGAGAGTACAATTTTTAAGTAGATCTTCCTCATTAAAACTATTAGCAAGACCTAAAGACTTGAAAAACTGGCAGGTAAAGTATTTCACTATTTTGAAGTAATTCCCTTACATGTGAGCATCATTTAACTACTGAGCCCTCAGAGTAATCAAATGATCATTCTGGAAAAGAATGTATTAAATCACAACAAACTGTCAGAGAGCACTGTGAAAGGCTTGTGATTCTTCGGCTTGGGGAGTTTCGTGTGTGAAAACTTACTGCAACATGGGTCTTGAAAAGGTCATTGCAACTCTATTGAGAACTAATGCTCTAATAACTCACACTGTGTTTACAGCTAAACTCATGATGTATTACTGAATCTTCATTTTGCTAAACCTCCAGCTGAAGAGTAAATGGCAACTTTAGGTCTGTTTTACCAAGAACACATAATAAGATGCCCTGAATCCAAGGCTTTGATCTGATTGTGAAAAATTTAGACCCACACAAGCCTTACAATGAATAAATCACCTTCAGCATTGTGTATTTCCACTAAAATATCCAGTTTGTGCAGCACTAAGCTCAGCATTCTCAATGCAATTAAAAAAGGTTCATTTCAACCTAATTTCTGATTTCTAATTTCTAATTACTATATATTGTCCTAATGAAATCTAGTATTTGTGCTATGACAGCTTTATTGGATAACTATAGAATTCAAGCTCTTTCTTTCACCCTGTTTCTTCCTCCAGTATATTTGAAATAATTATAGGAATTATTAGAAATAATTATTAGAAATAATGTTTGTCCAATGCCACAGGAAAATAAAGCTTCTGGAGGTATTTTTATCTTCCTAGATCTCCCTTTCAAATTTTGTTCAAGCAGAAAAGGAAGAATTTAGTTATTTTTCCAAGATTTGCAATATGACGTGAAGAAGCATGTCGAATAACATCACTTTCAGAATCCATAAATTTTAGCAAACAGCAATGCTAGTTATACAGAGGAATCATGTTTTCATAAAAGTAGAAGCTCTAATCGACACAGAACTGTACACCTTTTCAAAACTGAGAATGCAAAAATAAAGGGAAATTCAATAACTGAAAGGGAAATGGCAAGTCAAAGCTGCTAGAGAGCTTTGAGAGTTTCTGATTCCCACTAAAGTCACCTTAAAATAACTGCCCCAATACACAGAACCCAATATCTACAAATAGAAATGTCCATGAGCAAGAAAGACGTCTTGTACTGTGTGTACAGCTTAAGAAGGAATATGTATAAATAGCTTGGTATATAGACTAATGTGGCATAAGGATTAATTGTGATTTCATACACATCTGTTAAGACAGCATGCACAAAGCATGTTACATGCTTTCACACAAAACTATACGTAAAAAACAATCATAAAACCCGGATGGGACTGGATAGGCTGTAATTTGTAGGAGGGTACTATACTAACAAGTTCTGACCAGTGTATTATTTTTGTAGCAGTGCATACCTGGGAGACCCTCAAATTACTAGCTCATGCTAAATAATTTATGGTAGATAATAAATTTAATGAACAACATCTGTTCCAAATTCACCTAGAAGACATATACAAATTCTTACATACGTAGAGATCTCTATCATGCCTTACTTTTACTTTGTTAGCTTTTTCAAGATCTCACATGCCACAAAGATCCACATAAAAGAACCTTAGCTAAAGGTACTTAAGAAGACTTTTTCATTAAATAAGCACTGGGGTTTTTTCCAAGAAAAAAATAACCAGCTTTTAAGAAAATTATAAAAAAATCCAATTGAATTGTTGGGGTTATTTTAATTAGAATTT